GATAAGAGATTCTTTGTGAGTCCCTGGTGACAACATTTGTATAAGCGCAACTTTCTTTCCAGCTCTTACCAAACAATTTTGGAAGAGTTGACACCTAATCCAAGTTGAACCAATGAAATCCTCTGGAGAATTTGAAATTTGGAACAGATAGATCCCAAGAAGGAAGTTATTTCACTAAAGTCAAGTTCTTAAGAGAAAGTCAGACACTTTTCACAGCTCAAGTTCCTAGAACTGTTGTGATTCTTTCCCTTTTTGAGTTGTGATTACTTAACTTTCCTTGGTTTCAAAATGAAACTTAAAGAAGTTGCTGTGGCTGATATCGAAGAGGTTACTGCCTATGTTCTCCCCTAGGATTCTGATGGATTCCTGCTTCACGTTGAGGTCTTTTATCCATTTCAAGTTTATCTTTGTGTACGGTATAAGAGAATGGTCGAGTTTCATTCTTCTACATATAGCTGTCCAATTTTCCCAGCACCATTTATTAAAGAGACTGTCTTTTTTCCACTGTATATTTTTTCCTACTTTGTCGAAGATTATTTGACCATAGAGTTGAGGGTCCATATCTGAGCTCTCTATTCTGTTCCACTGGTCTATGTGTCTGTTTTTATGCCAGTACCATGCTGTCTTGGTGAGCACAGCTTTGTAGTAAAGCTTGAAATCAGGTAACGTAATGCCCCCAGTTTTGTTTTTCTTTTTCAACATTTCCTTAGCAATTCGGGGTCTCTTCGGATTCCATACAAACTTTAGGATTATTTGTTCCAGCTCTTTGAAAAATACCGGTGGAATTTTGATCGGAATGGCATTAAAAGTATAGATTGCTCTAGGCAGTATAGACATTTTAACCATGCTTATTCTTCCAATCCAAGAGCATGGAATGGTCTTCCATCTTTTTGTGTCTTCTTCAATTTCTTTCATGAGTGTTCTGTAGTTCCTCGAGTAAAGAACTTGAGGCAGAAGGAAACTGGTCCAGGTGATACTAGTTGAAAAATCATCAGATCGTGAGCAAGCCTCTGGTGTGATGAAAACTATACAACAAGGTGATTATCAATTAGATATTAAATCTATTGATTGCTAAATGGATTGATCATAACAAACAGCAACAGTACATTCAGTTATGCTTTACAAAAGGTTTTTTTTAATCACTCACAACTCTAGTACACATACCCATGAAACATTTGTTATTCATTTATATACAATGCTTTGTTGGTTTTTCAAATTGCTTTGTAAAAATTCCAGAGCTTCACAACTTGTGAATCAGTGGTTCAACAAAAGATTTCAATGCATGTCCTTATTCTGATATGATGTGGTTCACTCACTTGAGGACACATGTCTGGAAATGAGGTCAATTAAATGTGATAGACTGACCAACAGGACTCAAATGATGGTCTCAAGTATTCGTAAAGATCTCCCATAGTTCCATAAATATTTTATTTTAATTTGATTTTTAAATATTGTAATTTTAAACTATAATAAGAAGCATGCACACTGTAATGCATCTTATGCTACATTTTAATGCATTCAAGACTCGTCATAGTATTAACTTTTGCTACCAGATTAACTTATGCAGAGCATAAAGCAACAAGTAAAGCTTCCCTTTAATCCATAATTAAACACCTACTAGAGTCCAACCATCTAGAGATGTATCTGAACCTTCACAAAGGAGTGATTGAGTATAGAGGAGATTCCTATATCACCTGGGGGTTCCCCCCTACCAATTCAAGGAAGCCCGTGGCCAGTCAAGGAAGATTTTAGAAGCAAATGTTTCCTTCTTTATGAGGATAGTTTGATACTATATGAATAAAACTCAACACAAAAATAACTGGTGCTGGGAGAGATTTAAGACCATAATTCTCATTGTACTCCCTGCCTTCAAATTTCTGTGCCCATTAAAATAGAGGTCAACATGACGTGGATGGAACTAGAGGGTATTATGCTTAGTGAAATAAGTCAATTGGAGAAAGACAACTATCATATGATCTCCCTGATATGAAGAAGTGGAGATGCAATGTGGGGGGGTTGGGGGGTAGGAAAAGAAAAAATTAAAGAAGGTGGGATTGGCAGGGAGACAAAACATAAAAGACTCAATCTCAAAAAACAGACTGAGGGTTGCTGAGGGGAGGGGGGACGGGAGAGGGTGGTGAGGATATGGACATTGGGGAGGGTATGTGCTATGATGAGTGCTGTGAAATGTGTAAACCTGGCGATTCACAGACCTGCACCCCTGGGGAAAAAAATACATTATATGTTTATTAAAAAAATAAATAAATTTAATAAAAAAATAGAGGTTAACATTTGAATTTATAAGATAATTTTATATTTACAAAACATGGTTTCATTTCATTTGTATTTTATATATTGAGGTTCTCTGGAAGACTTCCTTTTATTAAAATTGTCCTCAGAGGAAAAATATTTGAAAACCACCATGGTAGCAGGGTTACTCAACCTTGGCACTACTGACACTTTGGAATAGGTAATTCATTATTGTTGGGTGCTATCCTGGGCACTGTATGTTTTAGCAGCAGCTCTGGCCTCTACTCACTGGATGCCAGTAGCAAGCCTCTGTCCCCAGACTGGTGGTCAAATATATGTCTCCAGATATTGCCAAATGTCCCTGTAGGGGAAAATAATCCCTGGTTGAGAATTACTGACTGAGTCATGGGATCATAGGGCTGGCCACACTATTAATTTCTAGGGAATGATCATATCCTCCTGAATTTTTAATTCATAAGCAGCTATTAAACAAAGAATATAGTGAAGTAGATAGGTGATTTTTAAAGCATTTTAAATATTCATTGTGTTATCTTATTGAGGGTGTTTGAGATACTATGCAGGCCATAAAAATAATGTTGTGGAATTGTATTTTCTGGCAACAAAAGATATTCATGATATATTATTAAGTGAAAAAATTAATTCATGTGATAATGGGAGTGGGGAGGAATAAGGCATTTAGTAAAATACTTTTATGGGCTAAATTCTGGAATACAACTATTCTTCATATTTTTTATAAAATACTTTGAAGAAATTTTTAATTGAATTTTAAAATTCCTTTTGCTCTTATATAATGCTCCAATAAATCTGATTAAATTGAACAACATCCTGTCTAAGACAGGCTTCAAAGGAAACATGCAAATGTTCACCTTGGTAAACTTTCATTTTTTAAAAAAGATTTATTCATTTATTTGAGAGAGAGTACAAGTTGGGGGAAGGGCCGAAGGAGAGGGAGAAACAGAACCTACATCAGGCCTTCCACTGAGCTTGGAGCCCCACACAGGGTGATCTCAGGATCCTGAGTTCAGGACATGAGCTGAAATCAAGAGTCGGCTGCTCAACGGACTGAGCCACCCAGGCACCCCTAAACTTTCTTTCTTTTGGTAAGGAAAGCCAAAGAGAAATTGGAAACAGCTAGTGTATTTCTTAATAATGTTTTTAAGAAGGTATCACTTAGGTTAGCACAAACAACCAAAATAATAACTTGTCTTAGCAGCCACAAAAATCATAGGTTTGAGAAATACTTTGTTGAATAAATATACTGTTGATGGGGGAGTGTAAATTGGCACAACCTCTGTGAAGGGTGATATAGCATAATTTTAAGTGTACATACCATTTTTTCTAAAAATTCCCTTCCTAGAAACAGCCAACAGATATAATCAGAGGTAGTAGAATATATCAATATATTCAGAGCATCTTCATCTGTAAAAGTAAAAAAATAGTAAATGACGTAAATGCCCACTAAAGTGTGATTGGAAAAAATAAACTATTATCATTATTATTATTATTATTATTATTATTATTATTCCATACAGCTGAACCTGCTGTAGTAAATTTTTTTAAGACAGCTTATTATTTGCTGACATAGAACCAAATCCAAGATGCATTGCTAATGAAAACAAGCAAGGTTCAGAACAGGGAACACGGTAGTTTGCTATCTAAGACATTTCCCCTTAAGAAGACATATGTGTCTTCTTTTGAACACAGAGTATTTATGGAAAATGTCCAATGTTGTAGTTCTTGGGGATTAAGGTAGAAAGGAAATACAACTAAATTTGAATCTCTTGAAATCTTTAAATTATGATTACACATTACTTTTGGAGAAGGATCATGTAATATTTTTTTAAGAAAAGTACTTTGTCAATTCCAAAGTTATACTAAATGTTTGCAAGCATGGACTAACCACAGGAATTTAAGTTACTCTCATACTCCACATTCTAAGAAACTTGTACAGACAAGAGAAAATGGACAGGTAACGGAAACCCTAGTAGGATATCTAGAGTCAAGGTCCTGGGATTTGCATAAACAAATAAGCTGAGTGGAGAGCAGAAGCTGGTAAATATGGTATGAACACCAATCCTAGGATAGTGTTTCCTTACTGGTTATATGTTACCTTCTGAGTATAGGTAGATGAGGGTCTCAGAGATGAATCCAACAAATCTCCCTAAAAGTGGGGAATGTGAGGCCCCAAATGTCATGGAGGGTGGGTTTTACTACTCATGTCATTTTTGTTGTTTTATTACTAGGTTATAGCAGGAGAGGGAGATAGGTTTTGATGCATAGTGTTGATCTCCTCCTCCACATAAGGCCAGACTTGCTGAGATATTGTCACAGACATTGCTAGATGCTAGTAAGTGTAAGAAGGACCATGGAATAATAACAGCTAACATGTAACAGTAACAGTAACATGACCATCATTTGTGGAGCACTGATTAAGTATGGGGTACCAGGCTAGCAGCTTTGAACACATTATCTCTTTTACTCCTCACAGCCATCCTTTGCAGTAGGTGTTTTGATTGATGAGGGGACCTAGGCTTATGGAGATCAATAAGCTTGAACCAGCTCACACCTAGTGGGCAGCAAAAAAAGACTTGAATTTAATCTGCTCACCTTCACAAATTTTCATCACAAGATTTTGATGTCAGTTGGTGCACATGATTTGGAGCTGGGAAGCCTGGAAATGAAAGTCATCATCCTTATGAAGCTATCTTTTCTTTCTTTCATCCTGACAGAATCACAACCACAGCTGCATGTATGATGGACCTACGAAGATATCCTCTGGATGAACAGAACTGCACTCTGGAGATTGAAAGTTGTGAGTTCCTTGGAAAGGGGAATGAGAAAGAGGGATGCTTGCTTGACCCAATTAAATTCAACCTTGCACTGAATAATTGGTACTGGGATACTTTTAGCTACACTCCCCTGCCAACTTTTCAAAAGAGTCACAGTCTAATGACGTCTTCTCTCACATTGGTGGCTCAAGGGTCATTTCAATGCAGTTGTATTTTTGAACCATTAGAGAAAGTGTACTTATTTTAGCTGGACAATTTATGAACTCATGCTTTTCTCCTTAGAGTGGAGTTTCCCCCAAGGACTTCTAATATCCAAGCTGCATTAATAATAGAGGAAAAACATTTTAATATGAAAAGACCTTGTGAGATTGTTTTGGTTCTATAGTCTGTGCATCTGAATGACCGTAAATTGTTATCCTTTAGAAAAACACTATGTTAGAGTCTTGGGCACATTTGTCTTTCTTCACAGGAAGAACAGGATGATAAATGGTATTCATGAGGCTTGTGCTTTGGGCCAAAGAGTTGATGTTTTTTGAGTCTAGTGACTGATTTTTGTTTGTCTTCTTGGGTTGTTTTTCATTGACTGCTTTCTTAACAATTAGAATATTTTAGTCACTAGTATTTATTCTTATTGACTTTCACTGTTTCTCGGCCATCAACATACAAGCAGTTGAGCCCATTTATTGTGATTATCAGGCCTTAGGCAATTTCCTGGTTTTTGGGGTCACAAAAGGGTGACAGTAGGTAATTCAGAGCATTATAACATGGCTTAATGTAATGTGAGAAATAGATATTTATTTAGTAATCCAAAACAGTTCTAGATCTAAATAGCAAAATGGCAAAGGAAAATTCCAGGTGACCCTATAGTATTATTAAAGAATAAATGTATTCACCAGTGTCTGATTATTAAACAATTACATTAATTTTCTAGTTGTATTATATATAGGCTTAGAAATAAATAAAGATGTTTATGTAGAAAGAGCTGTATATTTAGACATACACATTGATCTACTCCCACTAAATGTGGAGTAAACAAGATCATTCATGAGCTATTTTTTAATTAATATTCTAATTTTAAAATACATGGTATAAGTAAGTTGGTTGAAAGATGCTAATATAAGAAAGTATTGCTGGTGACTTTTGGCTTAAATGTTGATGACAACCAAATTCCAACCACAGAAATGGAATACGAACCCAACTATTTATTAATGGTTAGTGACGTATAATAAAGTTAGGCTGAACTTAAACTGTTAGAACTTATATAGAAAGAGAAGGATGAATTCATTACTCATTCATACAGGTTAGCTTTTACACTTGACCCCTCTTCCATTGGTTGTGCTAATTGTTACCTTTGCTTCTGTGCTGGTCAGCATTAGGATTTGACAACCTCTTGAAATTCCAAGATTTTCTGGTTTACACCATTCATTTAGAGATGTAATCAATTTTTTTAAGAAGTAATCATTTTAACTTGAATTGTTTCTGTATTGTAGATTGCAAGTCCTAAAATTAGCAGCATTTTCTTACAAAATATACATTTTATTTTATAAAGCATATCAAGTTTTCCTGTTATCATAGTTTTATATTTTTTCTTTAAGCAGGGGATTTTCTTTGTTCAGATTTCAAAAACAGTTGACTTTTAGGTCCATTTATCATATCATATAATGACCAAAAAAACCCTGTAAATGAAGCAGAAATTAAACATAACTTTTGTGGGGCAGGGATGGGGGAAGCCCAAGCAACCTGATAGTCCAAAGTTATCATAAAAACGATGTAAGGCAAAAGGGAATGACCTGAGCTTATCATAATCATTGAGAGAATTCAGTAAGTTGCAGTCAGTAGTCCAGATAGATCGATGTGGCATAGTAACTAGGACCCTAAAATCAGCTAATATGTAGGAATGCAGGCAGATGGTGACCGTCATCAAAGTAATCCAATAGCAGTTCACAGATATCTTGTCCCTAAAGATATTTACCTAAAATAGAGCAAAAACTCAGGCCTGGAGAACTGGTGCAATATAGAGTCTATGACGGCAGGAACCTGGGAGAAGGGTAAAAAACGGAACTGTCTTCTACTTGCCAAACAAAAGCTCGATATTAGTATAACACCTCTGTAACATACGTATTCACAACAACATTTGAAAGAGTATGTATCTGAGCCTCAGAGAATTAAATAACTTGCCCAGGACCACAGGGCAAGGATATTGATAAAGTGGAGATTCAAACCCAGATGATATACTTTCCATCACAGAACCTTGCAATCAATAAGAGAGCATGGCAGCAGAACATAAATGATTAGAAGTGTAACACCAATTGGAACCACTCTCTCAGCAAGGTTTAGGATGCTGAATCAACCAAAGACTGGTCTATATTTCCTAAAATTATCCCTGATAAAGGTTAGACTAGATCTCAGAAGCTGAAGCAGAATTTTGCCTTTAGATCAAAGGTCAGATGATTGCAGTTGTGGAGAGAGGGTAGTCTGTTGATGCAGGAAACCAAGTAGTCCTTGATTCCATTGATGTTATCCTAAAAAAAAAAAAAATTCAAAGGCCTCAAAGGACAAGCATTGCTTAGCTTAATATTTTACTTAAAATGTATCCCTTTTTAATTAACCACTTTAAAGATATTTTAAAGCTTAAGAGTAATAACTTCAAGTAAGTAAGTAACATGTGGCAATAATACAGAGTTTGAATGAGCTTTGCTTGATTTTGCCTGTGTACATAATTGATATGTTGCTAAGCACCAATAAAACTGAATCTGTCAGTCATCTATTTTTTAACTCTTCATGAAGAGAACTGTGTTGCATTATTTGCTGGAATAGCTGTCCCTGAACTGACAGTTTATGAAGACTATAACTGAGCTTTAAAGTGATTACAAATGAGAAGCTCTAGTATTAGTCGGGAGATAAGAATGATAAAGCAGACGTCTGCTAACGTAAGATTGCAGCAATCACACTTTTGTGACCAACAGAGTGGAAACTTTTCCTACCTTACAAAATTTACTGGCTTATGTTATTTCCCTATCCTTGGGATGGTAATGGAAGCATCCCAAGGATAGGGAAATGTTTTTCTTAGTTATGTCCTTCAAGACAAATTAAAGAGGTTTTGCTTTACTTTAATGTCATCTAGTCAAGTAAAATTGGAAAGGCCATAAAGGCTTGTAAAATTGAAAATTTACTTGAACTTGGAGCCCATTAATGGTTTCTTGGCCCTGGGATGCTATAAAATGAGTTAATGGCACATAGAAAATGCAATCAAGGAATTTAGTATTAAGAGGATTTAGAATTTGAAATCAATAAAGCTATCATGTGAAAGCTTGATAGCCATAAGCTTCCTGGAGGTATAGAAAGGACTTGCAGTAATAGTTGTGAAGGATACAAGTGCCTTTTCCCATTCCCTGCAGTAATAAATGAGGAAAATCTCAGGAGATAGTGTTACCTCTCATTATAACCCAAAAACGTAGAAGCCATTTCAGGCCTGAAATCTCCTACTGGTCTCATCTGTCTTCTAGACTTCCTTGTATCTTCACTATGCTGAGTTAGCCCCCTGTATTTCAAAGGAAGAGGTACTTCTATTCCCTGTATAGACTAACCTGACCCCTGTGTTCAGGATTCCAACTCTGCCTCCTCTAGGAATTGATATTCTCAAGTTCACACACACTACTACCCTTTCTCTCCCAGACCTTTAGCCTCACCCTGTCTGCTATCTCTCTTCACAGCCTGAAAACTAGCTGAAAACTCTTCTCATCATAAGCACCTCTGCCCTATGCCCACATCTCTCCTTAAGCTTTTTCTAATCTCTCTGCTTTCTTTATCTTCAAACTGCTTTAAAGATTGGTCTGTGTCTTGTCTGCTGTCTAACTTCTTCTTAACCCATTGTAATCTGGAACCTGCCTATCCATCTCCCACCTCCACTGAGAGCGTTCTCAGTAGGGTCACAAAGGGCCTCTCTTTATGTACCATCTTTATTCTAATAATCTCCAAATGTATAACTCTAGCTCTGATATCTTCCAAGCCCCAAACTGATACATAACACTCTTTTTAGCGTATCTATCTTGATATTTCAAAGACATTTTAAATTTAATTTGCTCAAAACTTAACTTTCAATTTTTCTCTCCCAAATGAGTTTCCTTTCTAGTCTCTTAATCGCACTATCCAACCTGCATCCTGGGATTAGTGTCTAACATTTCCCTCACACTCCTCCCATCCAATCTATCGTCAAGTACTATCCATTCTACTTGCAAGATATGTATCAAACCCTTCCACCACTCTTCCAGCCTTACTGCCACTGAACCACCGTTACTTCTTACCTGAATCATTGTGGCCATCTTTTTATTGGTCTTTTGCTTTCACTCCTGACTCTCTCCAACCATTCTTTACCCAGCAGCCGGAGTGATCTTTGCAAGATGTAAATTGAATCATATTACTTCTATGCTTTAAAAATCTTCAAAGATTTCCCATTGCACCAAGAAAATTCTCCATACTTCTTAAAATAACCTTCAAGCTTCTGTGTGCCCTGCCCTCCTTTGATATCTCCACTCTCATCTATAGCCATCTTTCCCTTACTTACTACACTAAACTCCCAACACCACAGATTCTTTGTTTCTTGCAAACTAAACTTTCTTCTGTCTCATTATTTTCACCATCTTGTTGCTTCTGACTGAAATGCTTTTCGCCATTATGGTGATTTCCTCTTATCCTATAGTTTCCACCTATGATAGCATCTCCTATAAGAGGCTTTCCTGAGAATCCAAACTAAAGTAGGAACCCATATTCTCCTTAAAAATTCTGTTAGTTGGGGCGCCTGGGTGGCTCAGTAGGTTAAGCCTCTGCCTTCAGCTCAGGTCATGATCCCGGGGTCCTGGGATCCAGGCCCGCATTGGGCTCTCTGCTCAGCAGGGAGCCTGCTTCCCTTCCTCTCTCTCTGCCTGCCTCTCTGCCTACTTGTGATCTCTCTCTGTCAAATAGATAAATAAAAATTTAAAAAAAAATTCTGTTAGTCTCCCAAATAGAACTTAGTAGTGTTTGT